CGATCGTCGTGGCGCGGTGGCTGATGACCTTGGAAATTCCTCAAGAGTTTGTCGAACCTTCGGTTGATGGCCTCCATCAACGCCGTGCGGTGATCGGTTATGGCGACCTTGGTGTCAACGAGTTCTCTGGTTAAGGCTTCGAACCTCGCATCGATAGATTCGCTCATGGTTTTGAATTGGCCTTCGAAGCCATGGCTTTCTTTTCTTCCTTTCGCTCTTTGCTTTGCGGACTCGTCTTGAAGTGATGATGATATTTTTTTTTTTATTCAAACGAAGAAAAAAAGAGAGAACGAAAAAGAATGGGAAAAAAAAGACACACGATCTAGCACCTCTCAATGAAAGCAACAATGATGAAGATCGCGTGTCCCGACTGCCGATAAACCGCTTGCCCGCGCCTTGAATTGCCGATAGGTGCTTCTCGAGCCACAACCGCGCCTCTTGAAACGAATAAAATTGCAATAGAATTTTGGTGGAAAACTAAAGCAAAGTGTTTGAACAAAAGTTCATGATTTTCTACTAACTACTAACTAAGACTATTCAAGATTCAATTCATCATGAAAAATAACAAGAGCAAGGGCCTTTATATTGGTACAAATTATGTCTAATCCTAATCTACCTAGGGAACTAATAAAGCAATAAAATCCTAAACAATCTTGATATCATCAAGCAATAAGGAAACCAAATAGCTTGGGGATCTAATGCCTTGGCTTGCACTCCAAGTAGTCTTGTCTTGCACTCCAAGTAGAAGACTCCCTAACCTCCTCTCTCTCTCTCTCTCTCTCTCTCTCTCTCTCTCTCTCTCTCTCTCTCTCTCTCTCTTTCTTGCGCCGCCTAGGGCTCCTACGCCTTGCGCCTCGCCTTAGTCCTATAGGACTAAGGCTGCGCTGTCTTCGCCCGTCTGTCCTCTTGCCTCAAGGATTAAGGCCTCGCGCCCTGTGTGCGCCATTCCTATTCCTTGAAGGATCATGCTTCGAGCCCATATCCACTTTGCCTATTCCTACTAGGAATATGCCCCCGGCTATGTTTCCTGATCTCTCGAGGATTACTCCAGTCACCGATCTTTCACGCGCGTTCCGACACTTAGCTGCTTTTCCTAGTCCTGCAGGGTCTAGTATTCGCGCCATGCCTATTCTTATGAGGACTAGGCTTGCTGCCCTGGTCTTGCCTCGCCCTTCGAGTGTGCACACGATCGCACCCTTCGCCTGCATGAACAACTCGTGCGTGTCTCAAGGCTAGCAACGCTCACATGCACGGAGATGTGCATTAAGCAAGGGCGCGCACACGCGCATTGGCATAGACGCGCATGGCGCTTGGAGGTTAGGCGAAGTGGCGCGCAGGGGGTGGATGTTGGGCGGTTGATGCTCGTGAGAGACTGCTGTAGATGCGCGAGTGCGAGTGACCATGCATAGGGTCCGAGCGACGAGCGAGGCGTACCGGGCGAGCAAGGCGCACTGGGCGACAAGCGCGAGGCTCAAATCAAGACCAAGGTGACAGGCCTAATCCACATAGGAATAGGCAAGGCGCGAATACCAAACCCCGCAGGAATAGGAAAAGCAGCTGAGTGCCGGAACGCGCGTGACAGATCGGTAACGGGAGTAATCCTCGGAAGATCAGGCAATGTAGCCGGGAGCATATTCCTAGTAGGAATAGGCAAAGTGGATATAGGCTTGAAGCAGGGTCCTACAAGGAATAGAAATGGCACAACGCATGGGACGCGTAGGAGGCATGCGCGCGAGCGATACCTCGTGCGACGAGGACTGGCAGGCGGCGCGCAAGAGGACGCTGATGCGAACACGGCGAGAAGGCTTAAGAACGCAGCGAGTCGCGCGTGGCATGCGCGAAGGAGGCTATGTCACCGTGCCGTCGAGGCGCGATACGTGGACAAGGGCGCGCGCGTGAGAGACGACGCGCGCGACACTGTCGAGGATGAGATAGGGCTTGAACGCGCATGCGACGGGGTACATGCGCAAACATGCCTAGGCGCGCGAGGATTAGGCGAGTTGCTGGACGCGTGCACAGGAATGGAACATGAAGCCCTAGTCCTTGGGCGATTAGGCAACGCGGACGCGGGGCAGGGCAGATTGAGACGCAAGCAAGAATATTCTAGATAGCTTGGTCAATATTTTATTTCCTTGTTTTCTAGTTTGTTTAGGATACTTTATATTTTATTGCTTTCCTTGAGTAAGTATACTAGTCTAAGTACATTAAGATTAGATCTTTATTTTGAGCCTTATAAATAGGCCTGCCTTGTTCTCAATGGGATATATTGATTCTTCTTAATACAAAAATCAAACTTTGTTCAAATCTCTTGATTTAGTTTACGATTAAGTGATCTATTGCAAATTATCGTTCGAAGGGGCGGGAGTGTGTGAACCTCCGAGCACAGTATCGGCGATTTAAGGCGCGAGAGAGGCTTGTCGGCAATCGGGACACACGGTCTTCATCATTGGTGCTCTCATTGAGAGAGTTGATCGTGTGTCTTTCCTTTCCCATTCTCTTTCAATTTTTCTTTCTTAATTTTCGTTCGTTCAAAAAAAAAAATCAAAATTAGTCCAGGAAGTCGAGAACGTAGGCAAGCCAGAAAAGATATGGCCAATCGTGAGTTGAAAGAAAAGGTTGAAGGTTTGGAAGGCCAATTCAAGGCCATAAGCGAGAGCATGGAGGATCGGTTTGGATCGCTCGACGAGGGCTAGATCAGCACCAATGCTGCCGTGGCTCGCCTCGAGCAGCGCCTGGAGGTGGTGTTGCACAGGTTTCAGCGACAGCAACAGCAGGAGCCACCACGGGTGAACGCACGCGAGCATCTAAGGCAACAGGAGCAGCAGCGAGCTGAGCACAACCTCAAGGAGGAGGAAGAATACGAACAGCGATCGTAGGCGTCGAACTTACAGGAGCGAGCCCGCGTCAAGAAGCCAAGGATCGTTCTCTCGACGTTCACGGGAACCAACCCCGACGCTTGGCTGAACAGGGCAGTGCAATTCTTAAACTTAAATGAGATGCCGCAACGTGACTGGGTTTGTTATGCCGCGTACTATTTAGATGGTGAGGCCAACGTGTGGTGGCAGTGGCTCACGCACATGTATCGCGGGCGGCAACAACCAATCCGTTGGGAAGATTTTGAACGCGAGCTCCTTACGCATTTTGGGAACTCAGATTATCATAACCACGACGAGGCACTGACTCGGATCCGGCAGACGGGGAGTGTACGTGACTACCAAAAGGAGTTCGAGAGATTGGCGTGTCGGGTTCGCGGGTGGCCAGAGAGCGCGCTTGTTGGCGCGTTTGTTGTAGGGATTAGGTATGATCTCGCGGCCGAAGTGCGATTGGAGAGGCTGGAGACCATGCACAAGGCCATGGAGGTTGCTATGAGACGGGAGGATCACTTGGCCGCGACTCGAAGGGGACGGGCGGATTTTCGTGTCCCAGAGCCGCGGCGTGTGCCGGCGACCGTGGGCGCACCTAGTGCGAACGCGAGGCTGCCGGGCACCTTTAGGCCACCGGCAACTGAGGTGAAGAGGTTGACGGAGGAGGAGATGGCGCGGAGACGTGAGAAGGGGTTGTGTTTCCGGTGCGAGGAAAAGTACACGCCAGGACATCGGTGCAAACAGAATTTCTTGATCGAGTTCGTGGACCCAGATGACGAGGAGCCGGTGATCGAGGAAGAACGGAAGGTGGAGGTCGAGGTGCTCAATGATGAGGTCCAGATCTCAGTCCATGCGATGGCGGGCACTAAAGGGCCGAGGACTATGAAGTTACCGGCGTGGCTGAAAGATCGACGGGTTACAATACTTGTGGACAATGGGTCGTTGCACAATTTCATTAATGCGACTCTTTTTCACAAACTCAAGTTGCCCACGTCCACGATTGAGCTGTTCGAGGTTAGGGTGGCGAACGGCGAGCGCTTGCGGTGCTCGGAGATGTACCGACGAGTTCCAATCAAATTGCAAGGAGTAACGGTGAAGGCGGACCTGTTTGCTTTACCATTGGTACGGCCGGATCTGGTGCTTGGGGTGCAGTGACTCGAGGGACTCGGAGATATGAAGACCAACTACTGGGAGGGCGTGATGAAGTTCGATACCGATGATAGGCTGGTCACCATGAAAGCAAACGAAGGATCGACCAAGGTGGTTGGTCTAAAAAGCATCGAGAAGGTGTGGCGAGGTGGCGGGAAGTTGTACGCTGTCGTGGTCGAGCAGACCGGCGAGGAGTTCGACCAGGTGGTCGAGGAGAGGCAGCACGAGGTGCGTGACTTGCTCAAGGAGTTCGACCAGGTCTCCAACGCGGAGGTGGTCGAGGATAGGCAGCGCGAGGTGCGTGATTTGCTCGAGTAGTTCGACCAGGTCCTCGACGAGCCCAAGGGATTACCGCCGCACCGGGAGTTTGACCACCGCATACCTCTGGTCGAGGAGGGTCGAGCAGTGCACGTGTGTCTCTATAGGTACGCGCACTTTCAAAAGGCGGAGATCGAGCGGAAGGTGGGCGAGATGCTCGAGTCCGGACTCATCTAGCATAGCACGAGCCCGTTCTCATCACCGGTGCTGCTCGTGAAGAAGAAGGACGGCACGTGGCGGTTCTGCACGGACTACCGCGCTCTCAATGCGGCTACCGTGAAGGATCGTTTACCCATTCCAAGTGTCGACGACATGCTGGACGAATTGGGTGGCGCGTGCTACTTCTCCAAGCTCGACCTACGTGCGGGCTACCATCAGATCAGGTTGGCCAAAGAGGACGTGCCCAAGATGGCTTTTCGCACGCACCAAGGGCACTACGAATATCTCCTGATGCCTTTTGGTTTGTGCAATGCGCCGTCGACATTTCAGTTTGCGATGAATTCAATCTTCAAGGAGTACCTTCGTAAGTTTGTGTTAGTATTCTTTGATGACATTTTGGTGTACTCGAAAACATAGGCAGATCATCTCGAGCACTTGCGAGTTGTTTTGAAGATTTTGGCAGCTAACTCATTTTATATCAAGCCGTCCAAATGCTCGTTTGCTCAAGAGGTGGTCGAGTACCTTGGGCACTTTATTTCTCATGACGGTGTCAAGGTGGATCCAAGGAAGATTGAGGCGATGGTGGGTTGGCCGAAACCCACGAGCTTGATGCAGTTGCGAGGGTTCCTTGGTCTTACGGGCTATTATCGCAAATTCGTGAAGGACTATGGAACCATCGCGAAGCCACTCACAGTGATAACGAAGAAGGGAGCATTCAAGTGGACGGAGGTGAGTGAGAAGGCTTTCGAGGAGCTGAAGGAGGCCATGACGACCACGCCCGTGCTCGCAATGCCGAGGTTTGATGTGTTGTTCGAGATTCACTCAGATGCGAGTGACATTGGAATCGGGGCGGTTCTGGTGCAGGAAGGACGACCCTTGGCCTATCTCAACAAGGCACTCGGGCCGGCGCGCATAGGGTTGTCCGTGTACGTGAAGGAAATACTGGCCGTGGTCAAGGTCGTGTGCGTGTGGAGGCTGTATTTGCTTGGGCGACACTTTCGGATTGTCACGGACCAGCAGCCGCTCAAGCACTTGCTCGAGCAAAGGATCATGACGCCCGAGCAGCAGAAGTTCGTGTCCAAATTGATGGGGTTCGACTTCGAGATAGTGTATCGACCCGGTCGCCAGAACACCGTGGCCAACGCATTGTCTCGCCGGGAAGACGTGGCCGAGCTCGATGCAGTGACGGGGCCGATGTGGGCCATTTGGGTCGAGCTTCAGAAGGCACAAGACGAGGATGCACATTGTCGGGATGTGATTGAGAAGCTGAACGTGGGACACGACGAGGACGAGGACCTAGACATGCACGATGGCTTGCTCTTTTATCATGGGCGAGTCGTCGTGCCCGAAGCAGGATCGTTGTGCAAGGACATCATCCGGCATTTCCACGACTCGAAGTTTGGAGGACACTCAGGAGTTTTCTGGACATGGATGAGGATTGCGAGCACTTTTTATTGGCCGGGGCTGAGGGGTGATGTGCGCGACTACGTTGGGCGATGTGAAGAGTGCCAACGCACTAAGGCGGACGCGCATCGACCAAGCGGGCTGCTCCAACCTTTGCCAGTTCCCGCGCGTATTTGGGAGGACATCACCATGGATTTTATCGAGGGGTTACCACTCTCGAATGGGTTTAGTGGAGTCATGGTGGTAGTCGACCGCCTTACCAAGTATGCGCATTTTCTTCCACTCACTCATCCATACACGGCTAAGTCTATATCAAAATTGTTTGTTGAATACGTGATGAAATTGCATGGGGTGCCGCGGTCAATAGTGTTTGACCGAGATCGGATATTTATGAGTAGTTTTTGGTCGGACTTCTTTAAATTGCAGGGAACTGAGCTAAGCATGAGCTCCGCTTATCACCCACAAACCGACAGACAGACGGAGGTGACCAATCGCACACTCGAGCAGTACCTTAGGTGCTATGTGCATCAGTTTCCAAAGCGATGGGAGGATCATTTACCTTGGGCCGAGTATTGGTATAACACCACTTACCATAGCTCGACGAAGGCGACGCCGTTCGAGTTGGTGTATGGGCGCAAACTGCCGATGATCGTGAGTTACTCGATGGGGAGCGCCGTGAACGATGAGGTCGATCGAGAGTTGGTCGAGCGCGACTTGATGTTGCGCGAGCTAAAACGGACGTTGGAGGGCTCGATCAATAGGATGAAGGCATACCATGATGGCAAGCGGCGTGACGTGGAGTTCAAGCCCGGAGACTGGGTGTACTTGAAGTTGAGGCCGTTTCGGCAAAGGACGGCCGCGCAAAGGGCCGCGACCAAGCTCAAAGTTTGATATTACGGGCCTTATAAAATTTTGGCCAAGGTTGGGAAAGTTGCTTATCGACTTGAGTTGCCGAACGATTCCCATATATAGGAGGATTCAAAAGTTGGTAGCAGACGGGCCTTTGGGGTCGTTAGAAGTCGAGGCTTTTCCAACTTGTGA